CTTCGACAGCATGGCGCGCTTTCAACGAAGGGAACAATTCACACCAATGTCCCGAGCGCCATCGAAACATTATGGGAAAGAGTAGGGATACCTTTGGTGGAAATAAGAGCCGGGAATATGGGCGAGAAACTCGTCAAATTTCAAGAGAAGTGGAGGAAGCTGCCCTAGTAGACAGTGCATTCAATGACTGATTCCTTACTTAGGCCTTGTTAGTATTTCAGCGAACCCAGAAGATCATTAACAAAGTATTGGACCTGCCCAGTGTTATTCATCATGCGTAAGATTGTTTTGTTGAATTGTAAGCTTGCTAGAGTAATTTGAAACCTACTTGGAATTTGCTCATACGCGAGAATTTCTAGTGAAATGATTTTTTCCATTCTTAATTCTTTCTCAATCCGAAACAAATATGCCGTTTAAGTGAAGTAGGACTATCTCTAAAACATATTAAAATTTGAATTGATTTGATTCAGCGGAAAAAAAGTTACAGTCGAAAAACAATTTCGGCGAAGACTTTTGACCGCTACTGTATGTCATGGCATGTACCTGGTGCAAATGCCCCCTCAAATGCAACATGTTGCGTAAATACGCGCAGAAGAAAAGGCAAGCTGATATACGTCAGGGCCCGGTTTCAAAACATACTGAGACTACGTTCACAGTTGGCGATTTAGGCGAACAGACTAGAAGAGTAGAAGGAGAAGCTACGTATCGATTAGGCGACTGGGCGACTAGACGAGTCGGCTTATGTGGAGCATAAACGCATAAGGCAGCGCTGCGAGTTGGCGAACATGCGATCAGGCGATTATTCAAAAAAGGTACGCATCGATTAGGCGATTGAGCGGGTAAGCGCGCGAGTAGGCGAGTAGGCGATAAGAAAGGATACGTATTGATTTGTTGCTCCGCCCATTGAGCGATCGCCTAATCGCCTACTCGCCTAATCGCCTCGTCTAATCGATACGTATCCCTTTCCTTATAGACTATTCGCCCAATCGCCTAATCGCATATACGATCGCTAACTCTGAACGCTTTCTAAGCATTGATTTGTTTTACTCCACCTAGTAAGCGTGTCACGCCATCGTCTACCCGCCTTATTCTGCTGATCGATACCTATCTTTACCTATAATAGGACCGTTTGAGTCGTCAACTCTGAACAATACCTGAGAAAGTTTAGCTCTAGAATTACCTAAGTAACTTCATAAGGAAAGGCAAATATTTTAAAAATCTTTTCTAAATCTGGCACTAACCTTACTGATATGCTTGATAAAGTCTCGCTTGTCAGGTATCACTTCATCATGGTTTACTTGTGGTCTGTTGAGACGCGACGATGCCACCACCCTCTCGTCTTTCAAAGCTGACAAACACCTTGCAAAGACTGCTTCCCCTGAAATATGATATCGATTACACCCTTGCCTCATGGAAAAATTTAACGACCGTCAAAACATATTCCAATCGTG